GTATAACGACGATCATGATCCACGCCGCTCCGCTGACCGTAATTGGTGTGCATACGGGGTTGGGAAGCATACTGGGGTAGTATGTGCTTCATTATTATGTGGTAACAAAATTGTAACTTGCTGAGGGAGTGGCAAGTTCGACAACAGGGTCAGTAATATTGATAATGAACTAAAGAGCCATCACCAGTCTAGTCGTGAGTGGGTTTAATGGTGCGATGCAGCCGAAAATGGTTAAGTGAACTGCAACTAGTCGAAAATTATAAGACCATTGATGATTAATGCGTGGTCCTGTCCACACGGACATCATAACCCCGAAGGATTCGTGATATTCCCCGCCGACAGTATGGACACCTGAGCATGGTAATCAGGCTGTTACTCATCATCATGACGATGAAATCTACCACCACCACCACTACTACTACTACTACTACTACTACTACTACTACTACTACTACCTGAGTTTGAATCCGGCAACGCATACACCACAGAAGCCTAGATGTCCACATGGCATGAGTATGAGATTACCGGGCCGCTCTTCACACACTGGGCACATCTTGCTGCTGTTCTCACATAACTCTGGGCCTGTAGGCATGAGTAATTCCTGAGAAGGTGTGCTGTAGTAGTAGCATAATTACTTGCTAATCTGATGATTTCCTTCGCTGGTGTCGATGGTACGACAGTCTTGATTCTTTCAGTAGAATACAATTTTGATATCCAAGATAGACTATTTAACAATAACGTCGATGTTGTGGAGGAGCCGGGGTTGGTGTTGGTTTGAGCGAGGCAATACTGCTCACACTGGGTACAGACAAAACCACCAGTGCGGTTGACTGATGACGAGATACAAGATTGACAATAAGGGAAATGCCCACATGTAAGAAGGACGTAGCCTGGGTCTCTGAGAAAGACAGAAGGAGTAATTACTCTCACTATCATAGGAGCCGAAATATGATTACTCTCTTTTCTTATGACACTTCCGACATGGAGCCACAGCGCTGCGTGGCAACGATACAACAGATGGAGCACTATCTCTGGGATCATCAACATTCCCATGAGTGTCATCGTCATCATCATCCTCCTCCTGAGATTGACCATTACCAAACGGTTCTACACCCTCACTAGAAGTACCTGGGCCGCTATTCTGGCATCACCGGCTGAGACATCAATCTGCATTTCATCTTCCTCATGATGATGCTGCTCGTCTGTAAGGCGGCAATAAGGGAACTCGCGATTATAAAAGCAACACTACCCTCATTATTATCTTCCTGTTCAAATAAAAACGCCGTACTCGGCTCTGCGATGAAGGTTAGGCCCCATGCGACGAATACTACAGGGTCTATTCTGAGATGGGACCACTACTGGTGAGGAGTACAGCTCACACTGCACTACCGGCATAGCTCCCATACCCATTGCATTCTGGTCATGGGTGATGCAGACGAGGCAACTGAGGAGCCACCACCACAAGAAGCAGCAGCACTGCTAGTCGGAGGATGAATGAATCCTGAACCAACAGCAGTATAACATGGCGTATGTGCATTGGGTCCCCTAGTATCATCACCCTTCACGAGCCTGTATAGCCCTATGACCATCCATAGCTGGTCTGGAACTATAAGTTGATACCAACGCCAGGACTTGAAGAATTCGGAGGGTCTGAGATGTAGTAAGGAGGATATGTCAATAGGAGGGTGGTGGACTACCTCAATAACCTATAGAAAAGCCAGAACTCCCACTGCTGGAACCATGTTATACGATCTAGGTCGATCATGGGAGGAGCAATAGAACTACTACTTGGGACTACACCCCCGAATATTAATACAACAGAACGGGAGAATAAGCGACAACTAGAATGAGGTTTATCATCATGACATGTCAAAATAATAGACAGTGGTGAAAGGAAACCACATATCGAGGAGAAGGACGAGATACGGAAGAGCCGTAGATCAGTGAAGGTGATGAGCCCTGTAGTGGTAGTATTGGTAGTGATTCCTGCTAAGGAATCGACGAGAGTGAAATCCTGGACGACAGAGGAACACAACGTGCACAATGAAGCACGCAGTAGAAACCAAAGTGCTTCAATAGACGCTAGACTGATCACATGAGACTAAGATGAGTGAATTGATATAAATCCTGTGGGGGATCATCAGGTCGTGCTTTCTTCCTGCGATGGACGGTCTTGGACATCCGCCGCGGAGAAAGTTATGACCTTAGTGAGGAAGAGCTCGTGCGAGTTCTAGTGCGTACACTGTCACTTCAACTGTCAACCCCATTCTCACTTACTCCATAACTGTTTCTACTGGCTCTATTGGACCTACACCTACTTTTACTACTAGCCCCGTTCTCTCTGACGACATTAACTAGTACCATAACAATAGATAAGGTGTTAGATGAGCTATCGCTTAACTGCTCTTCCTCGGCTACTCAAGACGAATCATATGATGATGCCCCCACAGTTGTAACCACCAGGGTGTGGTGATGTTGATGATAATGATCATGATGATGACTGCTAAAGTCGATAATAATAACGGCATTGCTGACGATAGCGATGTTCATGATCATGATGATGATGCCAAAGCCGATAATAATAACGGCATTGATCATGATAGCGATGTTCATGATCATGATGATGACTGCTCAAGCCGATAATAATAACGGCATTGATGATGATAGCGATGTAACATCGCCGATGTTCGTGATTATGATCAGGATGCCAAAGCTGATATAATGACGCATTGATGATGATAGTGGTATTTATGATCATAGCGATGATGATGATGATGATGATGATG